CTTTAAATTTTTCCTTTTTCTGTGAAAGATGTCATTGTCATTTTCAATTGAACTTTGTCGGAAATTAAAGACACTTAAATCGTCAAATTATTTAACTTAACTTTTTACTTAAAATTACTTAACTTAAATATTCTATCGAATATAGTTAAATTAATTATTTCATCCTATTGACTTCTGGTCAATTAGCAAGCCGTCACGAATGGTATCTGTGAATGAAAAAGGTTGGTTTGTTAAAGAAAAAAACAAATATAAATAAAAAGTTATTATAATAATCTCAGTACAGAGTGCTAAAAAAGCCGCCCCCTAGTTTGCCATGGATACACACATAGACAACCAGAAATTACACCCAAACTCATAAGAGAAATAAAATTAAATGTAGGCCATACAAATATTTCTCCCGGCCCGGGAATCGAACCTGGGACCTCTGTGTGGCAGTATGGCATGGTTCGACCACGGAGGCAGTTAAATGTTAATGTTAAGTTAAATAACCTGTTGATTTGAATGATTTTTTTTTAACAAAAAAGAATTATCAAAATTGGTTCACAAATAAAAAAATTGGTTCATATTAAAAAAAAACATCAGTCGAATAGAGAACCTACTCTTTTTTTTAAAGTCGGCTAATAAAACTGGCCCCAAACGTTTGTGGAATTACATCTATATGCCAAGTTTTATAGAAATCGGTTAACGGAAAATGGGTGAAGTGTAATAAACCGGATATTTCTCCTGATTTTCCACCCTTAGAGGTTGAATCTTTTCTTCAAACGTGAATGTGGCTCCATCCAAACGTGAATGGAGCCACTACTGGAATACCCCCTTTCCAATCATCGAAATAGATCCACAAATGTCTGAGTAGTCGAGTAACATACAGATAAAAAAGAAACTTTTGTTTCCAATATGTAACCATCAAGACCTAGATAATATCCTATGCAATGTTTCAACAGTACGCTTAATTATTTACAGTGCATGAAAAACAATACAATTCTACAGCACTTTTGTGTACACGAAGTGTAATACATAGTTACAGGTACAAGAACAATGACCATCAGATAACACGGTCAAGCAGTGTAATGAATTTAATTACTGCGTTTAAATACAAAAGCGAGGTAACAAACCATTGTTTACCCGCGCATAGGGTTACCGGGTGACCTGTTTTTCATTACTCGTCACGATTTTCATAAGTCCGAAAACCACATTTCGCAAAACTGTAAACGCCAAATACCACTACTTATTATTTCTTATAATTATTAATACAAAAATAAAAGATGCGAAGGTCAATGATGTCCTCAAAAAGGCTAGGATCCGAAATGACAAGAATAAAAGAAGTTGTATGACAGGGGTAGTTGATGTACTCGTATGTGAGCTCTAGAGTTGTGTCAGGAGTGAAGTGGATTTCAGTGGTCTCTGCTTACCCCTCCTGTGGGACTAGGGTGTGAGCTTATGTAGGTATGTATGAATACAAAAATAATTAGAAAAAATCCTTCAACCCGGTTGAATTCGAACCAGCGTCTTCTAGCAAACCGTGCTAGGCGCTATGCGAACTAAACCACAAAACGAACCAGCGGACAGTGCTTATTAATTATTTTTATTTTAAAATTAGCTGTGACCGCGATTTCATAGGGGCTAACATGTATAACTTAGGTCGCATACTAATTATAATAATCTTAGTACAGAATACTAAAAAAACCGACGTCAAAAGTACGTGGAATTACGTCTATTTGCTAAGGTTTATTGAAATATCCCCTAGTTCGCCACTATACAGGACTTGACACTGGAGATAGTAAAAATAGGTTCTCACTACGACACTACTCAAAGTATATTGAGAGAAAAACGCCTTGAATTAGAGAAATTGCAAAATCAACCATTAAAGTAATTGCTCACAAATTAAAGTTAGGCGCTATTTATAAAAATGAATCTTCATGAGTGAACAGCCACCCTTCGAGGTGGATAATTTTCTTCAAAATGAAATGGGACCACTATGGAAGTACCCCCTTTCCAACAAAAAAAGAATCATGAAAATCGGTTCACAAATACCGTAGTTATCGCGTAACATACATACAAAAAAAAGGCAGCGGCAAGGTATTTAGTTTTAGAATAGCCTCTTCGACGACCTGCTGTTTTGGAGAGAATACCTGAGGTGAAAAAGAACAATCATGGACAAAAACAAATTAGAGCTTAATAATATTGAAGCGGATAAAATCACACAAAATGTTATTAAAAGGAGGAAACATTAAAGAAGACGGGATTTAAGCTTACAGGGCGGAGAATACAGGGAGGAAGGAAGTCGTACATAGAGAAGTGAAGAGAAGCGACTAGCCATCGAGGTACTATTCAACTGGCATTGCATTTTTTTGGTATTCTGCTCTTCAATGGCGTGTCGATGGCACGTCGATGACGTAGTCTACTAATTATGCGACATAAAAATAGTTATTTATTATGCAAGGCTGCGAAGTTGTTCTTTAGCGCATGTGTTGTATTGAAACTTGAGCAAGCGAAGGAGTCTATGAGTCGTATTCCAGAACTGTCTTCAATGCTCAAGTCAGGATTTGAGCAGACTTGAGTATGATTTCAAGCACTGGAAATACGACGATAATGGCAAGGACTTGAGTATGATTTTCAGCGCTCACTGCAATACTCAAGTCCTGACTTGAATATTGAGTAGAGTTATAGAATACGACCCTAGGATTGAATCCTAAGCGTAGCGAGGGCTTCAAGCCACGAAACACAAAACAACTTTGCTGCCGAGCGAAAAACACAAGTTTTCACCTCACTATAGCGAGGAAAATGGTAGATGAAAGAAAAACAGTTGAACTATAAACAAATCACCGCTAGACTCAGACTCGCTCATGTTTTGTTTCTTTTCAATTTATTACAGTACAATTCAATCAAAAAATTGAAATTGAAATGATTGAAATGAAAATTTGAAAAAAATAAATTTAGTTTTGGGTGCGTTCTAAATTTACACCACATACGTTTTTTTCTTCTTTGTATTATAATTTTATGTGATTAACGATTTTTCCATCCTCTAAGGATTAACGAAATTATTTTAGTTCTTCGACAAGTTGAAATAATCCAATAAAACAAAATTAGTGTTATCGTTGTCAATTTCATGTCAATAACAATAAGAATAAATTATACCAACGGATTAATATTATATAAATAACTAGTGTACTTATGACGATTCGCGTTTCGGAACGCGTCACTATTTTTTTTTTAAAGAAAAAGTTTATCTTCGAATGCGTTCTGAATTTGCATCTCATTAATTTTTATTCTTGCTTGTACTTATAATTTTTTTGTGATTAGTGAAATTATTTTAGTTCTTCGACTAATTAAAATAATTTGATAAACAAAATTAGTTATCGTGGTCAATTTAATATCAACCATAATAAGAATAAAATATACCAACTGATCAAAATTACATAAATAGTGTACGACAAATCACGTAGTTGAACGTTTCATTATGATTTTTTTTTTTCATCGAAGGAAAAAGTTAGGTGCACCACAGTCCATCGTCATGTTCGAACTTCAAAAATCTTTTTCCACGTTAGCGTGCAAAAAGTGCTTTTGCGCGCAGATTTCTAACGAGAGAGAAAGCCTTTCCGAGCTAATGAGGTAAAAAATATATTAATTTGAAGACTAAATTGCTGACTAAACGATATAAAAATAAGATATGCATAGTAATTTCCCTGATAGTTTTAGTAAGGACGCGTTTCCAATACGTCGTAACGTTTCATATATCGTTGGACGACTGTCGCGTCTAGCCTGTTCCCACATCACGACTATCTGTCGTGACTGTGTCGGTGTGGAACGACTGTTGTGTCTATCTGTTCCCGCTAGATCTTGACGACACGGTTCACGGCAGCCGCCATCGAGAAGTTCTAGTTCTAGCTTTTCCCATTGTCACGACTGTCTATCGTCGTAACGTCAAAAAAATCTTGAACGACAGCTAATCGTAGTGTTCTATGTGTGTTTATTTAAGTATACAAGCCACGACACTTTAAACTGCACGACTATCTGTTGTCACGACAAAATGGGAACGCGCCTTAAGCCAACGTCGGTGGTTACTGATTGAATGCTGCCCTTCCACTGACACTCTATTGAAACTCAACAGCCATTGCAACTAGTCACTGAAATTTAAATTTGAATACAGTGCGGTGTACCACTTACTTATTTATTGGTTTATTTTTCTTGTTTCGTGTCTTTTTAATAACTTTTTTTAATGCACGCTTTTTTGTAAGTCAGGATTGCACAATTCACATCGCTTTATCTTTTTTGCTATGGTTATTATTGTAGGTACTTTTGTGATTGTTTTTTTTTTTCTTTTACCTTACTTTTACCATAAGTTAGATATTTGAAAATGAAAGTATGGGCAACTGTAATTGGCGCTAACTAGCTTTACCTAAAAACATTCAATGTTAATCGTTATTAATAGCTGTTGTTGTTCCGATAAAAAAAATAGGTCATAAGTTCCCAAACTATTTGGCACACCACTACCACAAAAAATAATTGAAAACAAGTATTTTTTATATTAACTGAACACAAAAAATCACAAGGAAAAAATATATTTCACTCACTTTGGGAAATTATGAACTAGACTTTAGCAGAACAACAAACTTATCACAATTGCAATGTAATCTCTATGGAGTCTAAACAGAATTACAATTACCAGTGTTTTTAAGAAAATTAGCTTAAATTGGGGCTCAGGTAAATGTGGTACAGATAACCACACACTGTTATTATTTTTTGTCTATTGGAGACGGTTATTATTCAAATTAATGTCTAATCAGTTGTCGGTTTAAGTATCACAAAAAGCCCAGGGGAAAACAAACGCAAATTTTCTATTACGAAAAAACAATGCATAGATAATACACATGCAATTGCATAGACAGTTTTCTTGGCCGACAATTATACCTCGTTTGCGAAGAAAAAAACATCACGAGTTCGTTGTTACACAATTGAAATACTGTAACGTAATCACAGTAATTTATTCTCTATTGTTACAGGAGATAACACCATTCTTCACAATGTATACGGCGAATTCAGATCCGGAGAGCTAACTTGCATATTGGGTCCTTCCGGAGCGGGCAAGTCCACGTTGCTCAACATTCTAGCAGGATACGTGTATGTATACATTTTCGTATTTCGCACCCCTCATGGAAGAATGGCATAAGTGGAGTTACGTCAAAAACGTTTATTGGTCCATTAGATACAGAAACGTATAACCCACATCTTCTCCAATTCTAGTAACTTTAGCGACCATATTGTAGATAGAGTTATAAGAATTAGAGAGAATGTGGGTTACATTTTTTCTGTATCTAATAGAGCAATACACATCTTTGACGTAACTCCACTTATACCATTCTTCCATAAGGGGTGCGATTTATTTTTAAGGCGAAGTATTTCAACGCTACTAAATTTTTGGAGGTGAGGTATCCTGGTAGAAAAACTTAATTGTCTTTTCAATACACTTGCTCGTAAACAGTGTAATGACATGCAGGCAAAGTCTACCGTGTTGTCCTAAATTATGCCCACTGGCTTTTTCATTACATTACGGTCTCAAGTGCTTGCTTACTTAGTATAGAAAAAAAAACTAAACATCTGCAATTAACTACACAAAACTTATTTTGTGAATTCAAATTTCACTATTTTTAGAATTTGGAAATTATTTATTTTATATCTAATACATCGTGTCTGTTTTATAACATTATTTTAATTAGATTTGTATTATCTATGGAAGAATGGCTGATAATCTGTTTAAAAAAAAACAAAAAGAGCCGTAATTTGCAAAATCCGTAAATGTTGTGTCGTGAAGCGAAATTTATTCATACAATAAATAAATTATCGTTGTATCTATTTTCTCGCAAATGTGAAAAACATTGTATGTATGTAACACGGGCGGTAAAAATGACAAACCTCGAGTCATTCAAGCCCTCGGCTTTCAGTTGCTGCCCATAATACACAATGTACTAATATTGTCTCGAGTCTCGGTTTTGTGGTGCCGACGTTGTTTCCTATTTCCAAAACACAATTACTTATTTACTATATGAGAAAGTAAATATCATATGAAACCTAACAAAAACGCACAATCCTAATTGATTATGTTTATGAACATTTTAAATTATAATATAATTTGACTTGAAAACAGCTTCGGAAACGCAAACAAATTCGCTTCAGGTACACGCCGGCCGCTGCCGCGGCACGCTCGTTACGCTCGCTCGGCTCGTGCTGCTGTTTCATATGCTAACCTCACCTAATCTAGTGAACGGGGGACGCAACTAATATTAGACCTATGTAAAATTAGACGTTTCGTTACTCCATTTTCCTTTACGAAAATGTTTATTACTTATAATTATTTATAAAATTTTGCCGCGACAACCAATCGCCCTGCTTTCCTAACCTACAAAACCTGTTTCTTAACATTCAATTTTAAGTATTCAAAATATTTTTTTTTCCAAAGTGTTTATGTTGCTTTATTTTTTAAATTTTGCCGCAACAACCAAACGCCGTGCGTTCCTAACCTACAAAACCGTTCTCTATCATTTGTTTTTAAATATTTCTATAATTTGTATTATCAAACCTACGAGTTCCCGTAAGTTGATTATTCCGTAAAATAGACTACTAACTATGTAGTCTATTCACCAAATTAATTTCAACTCTTAACTCGAATGTCAGTATTGTACAGCTACGCAGGAAAAAGTCACTTTTCTTAAATGTAAACTTATTTTCAGAAACATTAAAGTTCACTTCCCGGACGTTAACTTTTTCGGCTACAACGCCAACGTATGAAACATATATAGTTTTAGTTTGACAAATCACACTATATTCTTAAGAGGGAGCAGAGGAAAGTTTCCTAATCTTCGATTTAAAAATAAAGTATTGTGTGAGTAACTACACCATATATTCAAGCATAGACATTAATCAGAAACATAAAACAATAAAGTTTCCTCGATAGATAAAAATTACGAAATGACCTCTAATTTTCACATTTTTTCGATTTATCCTCGAAATGCTACAGGTTATTAGGACAAAAATTAGATAATTTATTATATTTATGCATGATCGACAACTGTCACTACGGATTTTTTTTAATCCCTTTAGTTTTAGAGTTATTCCGCTAAAACGAATTTCGTACTTTTAATGCGCAAAATTCAACATCTCCTGTTGCATGTCACGCAAACTTCATGCATATATTTGGGCGGAGCCAACGTCAAAACTTTTTTGGCATGAGAGCTCTTAACAAACAAAATATAATTTGATAACTAAAAAAGACAAAAACTTAAAAAAAAAGGTTAAAGACCTCACGTGCATAGTGTGTTAATTAATGTTAATAACATTCGGTAGTGTCAAAGTTGACGTGCTCTCAACTGTATAATGATTTAGCAACTTATCACGAATATTTAAATATTTTTGCTGCTAATTTAATGTAAACTCACATACATAAAAAAATACAATCGAACTGGGAACCTCATACATATTAAATATAGTGTAGATCTTAGAATAATAACGCATAGAATAATAGTTTCATATCAAATGAACTGTCACAAGTGAGGCAAAAATCAAATTCATGTAGGCTAGTTTTAGTAATAGGTTAATTTTCGGTTTTAGTGAATATTTATAAATACAAGTTGAAACGCGTTACTTCCTTGTGGAATGTGATGTTAATATCTATTTTATGTTTGTCTGACGTATTTTTACTCATTTACCGCACATTTCGTCATTTTTAGCTAAAATTCTTGAGCTGTTCGCGGTGCAAGTTGACCTTGAGCACTGACGGCCCTCCCGCTCGTGTAGGCCCTTTGGGAGCGCTTCAATTTGCCTCGCGTGTGCGGACTAGGTTTCTATGCGTTATTATTCTAAGGTGTAAGTAACATAAAATTTCTTTGGCACGTAATAATATTACGGACAGCATACCCAAAGTATTTTTTTTTAAATGTTTAGGTAGTAATTGAGGCTTACGACGCGTCCATTTTTTTTTTCTTCCGTGGACATTATAAACATATTAGCTAAAAAGTTTAGAGGTGTATTGGGTTTATTTTACACTATTATTACATTTTTTCTCAGTATTTACAATAACATTTAAAGTAAAAAAATATATTTTCATTTTATGAAATAGGAAATCGTAAAATCAAATCACTATTGAACCTCATACAGTTACAGTGTAACTGGACCCAACTAATTACAATTGCCTATCCCAAAATATATCCAAACCCATTTCAAATATCCCGTTTTTACTACCGTGTTACAATTAAACATCATTGATCTCCAAACATTACCTGTTAGGTAAACGTTAATTGGGGCCCCCGGGAGATCAATAGGCCCCCAAAGAGGGGCACCAGTCCTGTGTAAACGATCCTATATCAACAGTGGTCAACTACTTGGTTATTATCGGTCAATCTACTTTAGGAGTTTAGGTTTGGGAACTTAGTAGCTGAACTTGATGTTAATTGATGAGAAGGACTGGGAATTGTTTGAGGTAGGATTATTATAGTTTTGAAAGTGTTAAATGGTATATAATACTTTAAATGACATTCGTTATAATGAAACGTGTTGATAAGGGGCCTGATGGTATGACTGTCGGTCCATGGAAGCTAGGGAGACAGCTAGTGTGGGACGCAACCTGTGTGGACACTGTAGCACCCTCCCATGTCCTTGCAAGCGTGGGCGCAGGCTCTGTGGCCAGAGCGGCCGAGAAAAGTTAATTTCCCAAATTGGTCGTACAGGGAATCGAACCCGTGTCATCAATGAACTAATGAACTATTTATTAGGATGTACAATATTCACAATACATGTACAGTCAAGAGCACGTCAAGCTTGACACTTTGCACTTTGGACCGTTCTTATCGTAAGCGGCATAGAGTTGTATTTAAGTCTTAAGTGTGAAGCTTGACGTGCTCTTGACCCTATACGTTTTATTTCGAATACAAATACAAATAAGAAGTCAATTCTGAAAATGTTTGCAACAATAGCCATTATATATCTGCATTCAAAATAACTTTAAATGTTTTTTGTGACCTATAACGAATCAATAAACGCAGTATAAATGTCATCAATGGAAACAATTATTATTATACTTATAAGCAATACTGCTCACTTAATGGAAAGGTAAAAAGTCTAAAGTGTCATAAGCGAAAACCAAGTCATAAGCTTTTTGTAAACCGACATAGCATAATGAACTTTCTCGAAACGATAACTGTCACCGCCACCAGTTAACTTGAGCTTTGCTATAATGGACGAAAATTGCAAAACTACATATTTAATTACCGATGAAATGTGATTCCTTGTGTTTTGTAATTAGATGTTTTGCTGTTTTTCCCACACCACCGAAAGGAATAGCCTGAAAAGCTGAACTGAACAGCTGGGTTCAAGGTGAGCTGAGTTCAACTGAACAGCACGGCATTCTTAGAGATATTATCTTTATTACAATAAATACAGAATATTTTTTGGAATATACGGAGACGTACACACAGGTCAGTAGTTGGCCTGTCTATATTTCAGCGCAAACGAGAGTTGATATTTATAAGTGCTGTATCGCTAATTTGTTACCAGGAATATATTATGGTCCTTATTTCGTCTCTATTTCTGGTTATATACTCGATGCGATCAGTATAAAGGTAAACTGTTTTGTTAGAACAAATTTATTATTTTTATTTTATTATTGCTGGCCATGGAAACAAAGTCCTTCAGCCGAAAACATAAACGTTTAATTATATTTCTGTAAATATGGCCACCACAAAGAGGATAGGCAATTTGAGGCGGCGTGCTTGGGTTGACTCGGGATTCCTTAGAACGGGCCGATACGGGTAGTTTAGTTCGAGATTCGTATAATTTCGCGTTTTAATCTTCGATTAAGGCACAATAGCACTATCCTATTCCACTTTAAACTAGATTTCACAAAATAATTGAAAATCAAAATAAAAACGACACTTTTCCCTCCAAAAGGTCCAGAGCGAATCACAAATTTCTTATCTTTGAAAATGTTATTATTGCTTCTTATTTAACATCAAATTTGATGTTGTTATTACTTTCAAATTTAGAACATCTCTGGAAAACGAAACAATTTGATTGGACCTCAATTCTAATATCAGTCGAGATGAAGTTTTATTCGAAATGAAATGTCAATTGCAAACAATTTTGACAATTACACACTTTACTTGACATCGAACGATATGATAGTTGGGGTCGATTCTAGTTTGTCTATGAATTAAAAATAAAAACTGCGGCTGTGTGACATGCGTGAGAAAAGTTTTTATTTGCCGCCATTTCGCCAGTCGTAACATGCGGTTCCTGAACACATCACAGAGAGCTTATAATATGTGTGTAGATAAAGCAGTGTATGTAACTGTACATAATTAGGCACTAAAACACTCGTGAGATGTTTTACCTTAATACCTTTCTTTATGTCACATAAACTACTATATTGGTCTAAATGTAATATTATTGCAAAATGGATTCTACAGTGCCGATGAGTTTCCTTTGAAACAATTGTAATTTTGTATTACTTCATTTCCTGGTATTTAGACAAGCAATAGTTATACTAGGTACTTTATTTTAAATTCATTATTATTGTTTGCTTTGGTGACGATCATATTGTCCCTTGACATTGTATTTTTGATTGTAATATTGTGATCGATCATATGAAATAAATGATTCTATTCTATTCTAACTACAACTTGATTTTTATTTAGTTTAATGAAGTACATTCACAGAATTCGTATTAAACTAAAAACTTAAACAATTTTAGTAGCACTTTCCATACTGCAGCCTATTTGCGACACAAATTAGTACCAAGTTCTTAATTTTTTAGACAATCGCGTAGGCCATACAACTATTTCTCCCGACCCGGGAATCGAACCCGGGACCTTCGCGCCGCAGTCCAGCAAAATAACCGTTCGGCTACGGAGGTAATATAAATAGTTTAAAACAATTTTTAAAAGAATTAGGTAGATTAAATTAGCTTTCAATAAAAAGAATATCTTTTAGATTATTCCATTAACTGCCTCGGTGGCCGAACGGTTACCACTGCCACGCAGAGGTCCTAGGTTCGATTCCCGGGCCGGAGAAATATTTGTATGGCCTACATTTATTTGTCTCGTGAGTTTGTGCGTAATTTATGGTTGTCTATGTGTGTGTCTATGGCACCCGCGACACAGGGTTTCCCTAGTGCGGAGGTATGTTGAGTGTGTACGTTGTTATTATTATTATTCCGTCCTTTTGGGAGCTACAGTGCCACGACTTACAGACAGAAACACAGACAAATGCGTCATACTTACAACTCCCCTCTTTTTGCATCTGAGGTTAAAAAGAGATTAATTTTTTTTCTGAGAATATTATAATTGTATGGAGAATACATTGACTTACAATTATATGGACGTCGGGTCCGCGCTAAAAAGTGTCCGAACTTATAGAACGTTAAAATCGTATACAGAGCGTCATTCACGCTTTAGTCTTCGTTTGTTCGACTGACAGCGAAGCAAGCAAAATTAGACAGTACTGCGATGACATTACAATTTAAATTCAACGTTTTAGCTTTTTCATATTCCTTTGCATGTCACTACGTTTAAATAGGTTGACTTGGGACATTTTTTTCGTGGTTTTTGTATTAGACCCGTCGTCCATTTATTTGAAAGTCAATGGGAGAATAGTTAAAGATTGCAAGTCGTGTCCCTAGGTACGGTAGCAATATTCTTTTCCATGTTTATTAAGCTGGCCAATGTTGCTGAAATCATGTCTGCTATTATGTACCTGGAATAAATGTAATTCTATGTTTAATTTATTGAATAAACAGGTCCTTATGCCAGTGTGGACCTATGGTACACATACAGACGATAAATACAACGCTTCCATAAAATACTGAGGACAATTGTGGGTGCTCCTTGGTATATACGAAATGAGAATCTGCATCGTGATTTGGATATAGAGCCTGTAAATAACATGATAATTAAGTACGCCGAAGCCCACGTTCATAGACTACATCATCACGTGAACGTACAGGCTTTACAGCTACTAGACAATGCAAATATAGTGCGTAGACTACAAAGAACTAAACCTTTTGAGTTAGTGTAGTTAATTATAGTGAATAAAATAAATATTAGTGCCAATGCTAACTAGACTATGGACACACAAACAAAGTGTCTTCCCCTTAACTAATGTTAAAAGATATTTTGTCGATGGACAATTTATTTATTTTGAGGAGGAGAATTATGTTAAATTAAAATTGCTTTTAATCTTGTAAAATGGCTAGATTGTAATTAGATAAAGGGGTTTGTTTTGTTTTATATTATAACAAATAAAAAAAAAAAAATTTTACCACAAATTTATCTTTAGTTAGTCACTAACTCAAGACAGCATGACATGGACCAAGCAAGGACCAATAAATAACTCCCGAGATCTGCTAATCGTGCTACAAGACACCGTACTCGGGTATTTAGTACTTATAGGTACACCAGATGTCGCAACGAGTACCAAATTGCTATTTTTTAACTAACTTGTTTTACATTGACGAGCTACAATTTATCAAAGCTTAATTTGTAGTGATAACAAGCAAATCAACTAGATGGCGCTTATTGCACAGATTTTTATTGATAGTGCCGGCAATTGTTTTGTTTTATTTAGGATTAGCGCCATTGAATGATCTCAATGATCAATATTTGAATAATAATTGCAAGGAAAAAACTGACTTCTTATAATTCATATTAAAGGAATTAATTAATATCCACGGTCATTTATTAAATATAGGCTATTGATCAGCGCCACCCAGATATGAGACGGAATTAAATTTATTTGACACTCTCACTCAGTCGCGACTATAGAACCAGGACCTATCATAAACTTTCAAAGACAATCCTATATCAATGTAAACTTATTGTATTGTATTTTAACTGCCTCTGTGGCCGAACGGTTACCACTGCCACGCAGAGGACCCAGGTTCGATTTCCGGGCCGGGAGAAATATTTGTATAACCTACATTTGTTTCTCTCGTGAGTTTGGGTGTAATTTGTGGTTCTCTATATGTGTGTCCATGGCACCCGCGACACAGGGTTTCCCTAGTGCGGAGCTATATTGAGTGTGTGTGTCATTATTATTATTATTATATTATTATTGTAAGCTTATTATAATATTACTCATATTCGTACCATGACAAACCTGGCAACCTAGTAATATATTATTATTAATGTGATGGGACTTTGAGTATACATCACTGGAGGCGGCATTGATAGAACAGTCTTCTCTGTCAAGGTACAGTCCCATATTTTTCTATATAAGTTTTGTTTATGGTGCCCCTCCCTATCAACCTCTTGGTTGGCACTAGGGCACTACGACCTGCGCAAGCGAACCCGCACAAGTACCGCCTAAGTCAGGTCCTAACCCCGGATCAGCACGTTAGCACGGACTTCATCTTGTCTGTAAGGCTAGTGCCTTAGGTGAGCCGCCCCTGGTGCACGTACAGTACCGTGTCCGTTCCCTGCAGCTAACCACAGACCCGGCGAGTCCATACCCAAGTCCGGGTCCGTAAGAGACGCCCGTATGACTGGCGAAGGACTTGACGAAAAACCCTATCTCTCGGGGTAGATAGGGACAGACTTGTCAAGGTATAAGTAAAAGGACTTTGAATCGATTTTTTTTTTTTCATTTCCATTGACGAATTCACCGCGTCAAGTGCTCCACGACATACATACGTCGTCTTGCGCCATACAAACTTGCAAAAACCGACATGTGTTATTTAAACTACTTATCTTAATTTGTAGCATTAGAGCTCTTTGTGAGAGAGTTCGTCCAGCCACCTTACCTATTTCTGCCACCAAGCAGTAATGTCAGCATTACTGCGTTCCGATTAGTAAGGGTCAAGAGTGCTGGTGAAATTACAGGCACATGGGACTTGTCAACTTATGTCTCAGAATGTCGGGCGTAGTAGCAATGCCCATAAGATCTTTGCGATTTAAGGCTCTGATTCGTTTACCACCAGGCGCATTACTTGTTCGTTTCGTTACTCGTCTACTTAATATCAAAAACACATAAATTTAACAATTTAATTTTCTTTTATATCTGTATTTCACTTGTCTTTATTAATTTTTCTTATATATATTGTACACTTACAATATATAATTTGAATTAAATCACTAATATTTTTAATTTATTTTTTAAACATTATACTTATATTATCTTCCTATTTATTTGGTTTCTATTCTAATTATTATTATATGTTTAAATATAACTAAATGGAAAAATGACGTCAGCGAGCTGATTATCGTATCCGCGATTACCTCTAGGTTATGGCTGAAAATCAGCGGTTTGCTCTTGAGTAAACACCGACGCTGAGCTATGACCTTTTTGCACCGCTGCAGCACACGTACATAACTGGGTGTCTAGCAGTGCTGCGACTCTGCTATTTTTGTTTATTTTTTGTTTTGTTTGTGTTTTTGTGTTTTTTTTATTATTTTTTTGCTGTTATGTACGTGTGAATGTAGTAACAAATAAACGTTTTATCTATCTATCTATCTATAAATTGTTTTTATCAGAAAAATCTTGAACATTTTTCAACTCATTCTTATCCGAATTTTGAATTTGCTTCTTGTGCCTTTCCTTCCGAGGGCTGATTAATATTGTTACGCCGTGCGCTTTCTGTGTTACAAATGGTGTTATTTTTCATCGCAGGTCAAACGGTGTCAACGGACGCATTCTGGTGAATGGTCAAACACGCGATATGCGCGTCTTCAAGAAGCTGAGCAGCTACATCATGCAGGACGACCTTGTGCAGCCCAGACTCACCGTCGGCGAGTCCATGGCGATCGCTGCTGATTTAAAGCTTGGAAACGAGCTGGGTAAAGCAGAGAAGGAACTCATTGTAAGGCTGGCTTTATTTCAGAATTATTTTTTTTTACAAACGAAGGTAAAGCCATTTAAATAATGTACATAGTGTACTTTACGTGTTCTATTTAGTTCAGTTGATATAAAAAAAAACATTGGTATATTATACCTATTATATATATATATATATATATATATATATATAGTACCTCTTGAATACAGCGGTTTTCTTGTACAGTTTCAAGTTAAGTTTGTATTTTTTTTTCTATCGTGAAAATATTTAGGAATCGTGTTTTCGAAATCGTGTTTAGGAATTGTTTTGTGAAATCAGTGTACTATATCCTCAATTTTATTATATATTTTTTCAAAAATGACACTTTCACTGTTATGCGAAATCAACCAAAGTCATTTGAGCTTGTATAGACTCTTAATTTTATTACACATTCGTGAAAAACAAACCGTTAATGTAACGAATACAATTTTATGCATAAGCAGGCAATTAGAGTGCTAACGAGATGGTAAAACGGTAATTGCATGCTAATCACGAAACTAAATGAAATTTCATTCAATTATTGGCGAAATTGGTAACAATGTAACGTAAAATATAAATTATTATACCTAGTACTAATTACTGAACAAAGTTAAGACACATTTATAAAAAACACGGTACAATCACTGTATTCAGAAACAGTTGAAATCTAGTCATTACTCTAGCGAATTTGGTTATTGTATTTTACTAGGTACTATGTAGTAAATATTTGAACCGAAAAATATAAATACCGAAAGTAATCAATAGACAATCTTCATGTTTTCTCTAGCATTAAACATAAAATGTTGGTCACAATCTATTCATAGTAGAGCTCCTTGTGAAAGAGTTCGTCCAGGGAAGTCCTGCTACCTTACCTATTTCCACCGTCAAGCAGTATTGTGACCATTACCGCGTTCCGGCTTGGAAGGGTAAGGGTGAAATTACGTAAAGTAAGGCACGTGGAACTTATGTCTCAGGGTGACGTGAACAAGTTATGAGCCTGGTAGTAAACGACACGTCTGTCTACAGCAGTTGTAGTGCCACTTAAATTTTAAATCGCAATCTGAGGAGCATTGCCACGTCACTTTACAGGCACATGGCACATGGGATCTCAATGATGCAAGAATTAACAGAAAAACAAATACACAAAGTTAACAAAATGCAAATCTCTCTGTTTTACCCATTGACCTACAAATAAATGGACGACGGGTCTAATACACAAACCGCGAAAAAAATGTCCCAAGTCAACCTATTTAAACGTAGTGACATGTAAAGGAATATGAAAAAGCTAAAACGTTGAATTTAAATTGTAATGTCATCGCAGTACTGTCTAATTTTGCTTGCTTCGCTGTCAGTCGAACAAACGAAGACTAAAGCGTGAATGACGCTCTGTATACGATTTTAACGTCCTATAAGTTCGGACACTTTTTAGCGCGGACCCGACGTCCATATAATTGTAAGTCAATGGTTTTACCCTTTGATTTTGTGTCACCCTTAGATATAAGTTGACAAGTTCCATATGTCTGTAGTTTTACCAGCACCTTACCTTTCAAAACGCAGTAATGCTGATATTAATGCTTGACGTCAGAAATAGATAAGATGGCAGTACTTCCTTGGACGAGCTCTTTCACAAGCTCTACTGCTACGAAACTCTATTCTGCGTTTTTGAATTTGATGCTGTTGGGCTTTTTTGAGTTTACCAATAACATGGACATTATTTGCCACGTCTCTTGAAACTTATGCCATCAGTCAGTACCATTGATTTTGTTCATAATTGGCGTTTATTTATCACACTCTAGTACCATGCCACAAGGGATTACTGCCCGGGCTTACCATTGCACAATATCAAATTATAAATTTGTAATTTCATAGATTTCTCATAGATGTAAAAAGTCGTTTGAAAACCAAATACAAAGATCCGACAACAAGCGCATAGAAAACTAGGCGACATCTGTTCGAATCCGTCGGATCGAAATAATTTATTCTAAGTTTACAAAAAATAATTGAATATTATAAAAAATGTATATACATTTGTAATTTCATTAAAACTGTATGAAATTTTTATGTTCAGCCAAATTGGGTGTAACACTCGTATTTAGGTTAATAGTATTCATGGGACAAATCTGTGACAGTTGTACCATGTTGCAAATGGTCCGGAAGGGTTATAATATAATTAAAGTACGTTCATTCGATATTTTGAATGTGTTGAGCCGAAAGCGTCGGTGAGTATTATTAATTATTGCATACACACATGTCACTCGGGCTGCGAGTAGTCTGTATCACAGAACAATATATACAGTAGAAGTGGTTAGTTAACGTCAGACGCGTGCCAGCTATAGGTCTCGAAAGACCTACCTGAGCTCAGTACGCCATTTTCGCTTTGTATGGTATGGTTGTGTCATTCTTTCGTGCAAATTCACTAAAATCCTAGAAAAAGTCTTTTTAATACAGTTGCTCAAAACGTGGTATTTTTCGCACTACAAATCGTGCGGAAAGTTGGATTTCTCGCACTAGTGCTTTTTACTTTTCCAGTTTTTTTTTAATTTACTGTTGTTTCAAATCTTAAGCACAGAACTAAAGAAAATGTATATTTATTTAATATTTATGTGCTTTGTGACGTAAGTCATTCGTCATTAAAACTTATATTTATTTACAAATACTATATAATGAACGTATCGAGTGGAGGTCCACAGTCTCTGCCTACCCCTGAATGGGTGACAGGCGAGATTTTTATGTATATATTTGTTCTATGTATTACAGATAAATTGTATCTCACTACCGTGCACGGATTCCTAAAGAATTTTAAACAAAAGTACCAGGACTTCATAATAAGAAAAGTGGTTACAGACCGATATTACAGAAAATAAACAAAAACAGCACGTTAGAACTAGATTTCCATAGACTTTTAAATAATGGTTGCAGTGGTTGTACTACATTATTTTAATTTACTAGCAGAAAATGAGTTTTTTTTTAAATACTGTTTTATTTTACTTTCAATGTAGTTTTTTCGCAAATGTATTAAAAAACGTCGTTTGATACACGTGCGGATTTGTCATTTTCACTTGTCTCGCGTCTTGACCCTCGCCTCTGGCTCGGGCCAAGAAGCCTCGAGACTCGTGAATAATGACTAACTTTCCGCACTTATATCAAAAATAACTATATTGTGCTGGTTTGGAGTGCAAAAATGACAGGAGCATCAAAAATATTACCCGTGGTGATATTTCATATCATCGGAAAGACTTATTTTACTAAATTTTAAATTTTCTGTTTATCGAAATAATTATTTGTTACAAGAAACGAAAGCAAATCTTATGCACCTGCAACATGGTCACTTCTTATTTGGAGAACTAAATTAATAACTCCAATTCGTCGTCGTTCAGGAATGAACCGCTAGATGGCAGCACATTGATTGAAATTTCAATATAATATCAAAACGTCGTAACTTGTAATAATAGCTATTGACGGTATTGAACTTTCAACGATATGCCAACAGGGTAAAGTTTAAATTATATTAACAATCCAGAATTCGTTATTTTCTTTTAAATTTGAAACTTCGACAAATCAATATCAGGATTTTGAAGTGTTTCAAATTAGAAATGTGTGAGTTTTGGCGACGATTCTGACGACGACAACATGTAGGACCTATATTATAGGTGAAACAAAATGATTTTTTTTCTTTCTTAAATTTATTTGGTTTACCAACAACCATTTACATTGCACATGTGTATATACATTTGTACATTAATTTGTAGTTATAAATTTAAAACTACACTGAAGCAGCGATATGTAATCAAAAAATAATTGCGTTCGTTTGATGCCTTGCTGTATCGTTATTATTTTACTAAGGCTTTAGTTATTAAATTAATGCATAAGATATTTAAGAATTCACCCTATAAATCGCACACTTTATAAACACTATTACCTGTAGTTTCCTCGATAGAAAAAAATTAGAAGTTATCTCTAAAAAACAAAATAAATCGGCGTAAATACCTCACGGAATCTTTTCTATAACGTATACTCAGTACATTCAGTACCTACCTACACTCTGGTATTCGGAAAGTGTGTACACACTTGACTTAAAGTTTATAATATTATGTTATCGTGATAAAAGTTCGCTTACATTCAATGGAATGTAAGTACGAGATATGTTCAATTATTATTAACCAATTTAAAAGAAGACATTTTCACCTCACTAGCTCGGAAAGGCTTTCTTTCTCATTAGAAATCTCCACTTAAAAGCATTTTTACGTTAGCGTGGAAACGGTTTTTGAAATTGGTGCACGATGGACTGTGGTGCACCTAACTTTTTCTTTCGATGAAAAAAAAACATAAGTAATCACACATACACATTCGGCTATAATATAATATATCCGTTGGTATATTTTATTCATATTATTGTTGGCACTAAATTCAACGGTAGCTAAGTTTGTTTAATAAAACTGATTTCTTATAGTTCAACTGTTTTTCTTTCATCTACCATTTTCCTCGCTATAGTGAGGTGAAAAGTTGTGTGTTGTCGCTAGGCAGCAAAGTTGTTTGAGTTTGTTTGAGAGACTCGCGTAAAACAATAACTGTGCAACATTACATAACAAATAACTATTGTTGTTCTATTACAGAATACATAAAACGAAGCAATAATAAAATCTTCTTCTCGTCTGACGCACGTAAATAATACAGTAGCACAATATAATAAACGCTCATTCTATGTAATTCTCAAGCCAGCATTAGCGGGTTAAGCTAATTGACATCACGCGGCAAGGCCAGTCGGTTCCGAGATACATGTAACCAGGTCAAGATCAGCCCTTTGCATTTGATTGTATTTAATTAGGACATTTTTTCGACAGAATATGTAAATTATTATTAATTTAAGCATGCGCAGACGGTACTGTAGGGTTTCAGTTGTTCGTCGTTGACAGTCCTCTAGTAAAAAGTTCGTCCAGGCAACTACTGTCACCTTATATATTTCTGCCGCCGTAATATGTTCATTACTGTGTCCCGGTTTTAAAGAGTAAGGGTACTGGTGAAATTACAGGCATAATTATAGGATTTAAAGTTCTGAGAGGTACTGCAATTGTTATGAAAAGGCGTATCGCTTACCACGCTTAGGTTGCTTTTGTGTTCCCGAATGCAAACAAATAAAAATGTTTTAAGATTTGAACAAAATCCTCGTGCAAGAAATTTTTAATATCCTTGTATTACATAGGTTCCCAAAATTTTTTGGCATACCGCCCACTCAGGCAATATAAAAAAATTGCAACGCCCACCAATACAAAAAATAATTTAAAACACGTATTTGTTATATTAACTTAACACAAAAAAAATCACAAAAAATGCGTATATGTTTTTTTCAAATGTGGTAGAGCATCAACGGGCGTTGATGCTCTACCACATTTGAAAAAATTTGGGGAAACTATGTTGTAGTAGAACCGAATTGACTTTTCTTACGTTCAAAGGTGAATGTAAGCAAATTGTTTGAGTACACGTTTAAGAATAATTTAATATTTTAAAGGAAGTTAAAAAGTCCATTTTCAATTTAAGAAAAAAGAACACAATTAATCTTTGTCGTATGTTGACGGGACAATGGCGCTGAAATACGTATTCCCGGAAAACCCCGAATCTGTCATCTACAAAATTTAGTATAATATAATAATATAAAATAACATCTTGGTGGGGATTTTTTCCACAAATCCCCACTGCGTAGCAAGTACTACTTTAGTGGGGATTTGTGGAATAAATTTTAATAAAATGTTTGTCTTTTCAGGTAGAAGAGATTCTCCAAACGCTCGGGCTGCTGGAGCATAAAAACACGAGAACGGAGCGCCTCTCCGGTGGTCAATCCAAGCGGCTCTCAGTCGCTCTCGAGCTGGTCAGCAACCCGCCAGTCATCTTCCTTGACGAACCCACAACGTGAGTGTTTTTAACTTAACTACTAGATGACGTAGAAATACTAATTTTACCCTTTGCCATTGTTCTTTAAATGGAACCAATACTGAGGTACCCTCTTTCCAAAGAAAAAAGAATCATTAAAATCGGTTCACAAATGCCGTTGTCGGAATGAAAAATATAAGTTATGGCGTAATTCGCGTAATAACAAAAAAGAATACAATCGAATTGAGAACCTCCTCCTTTTTTTGACGTCGGTTAAAAAAAGTCATTTTTAGTTGCAGTAGAGCTCTTTGTGAAAGAGTACCTATTTCTGCCGCCAAGCAGTAATGTCAGCATTGCTGTGCTCCAATTTTGAAGGGTAAGGGTGCTGGTGAAATTACAGGCACATGGGACTTGTCAACTTATGTCTCAGGGTGACGGGCGCAGTGGTAATGCCACTCAGATCGTTGCAATTTAAAGCTCTGAGTGCAACTGTAATTGTTATGCACAGACTTGTAGCTTACCATCAGGCGGACGACTTGTTCGTCACGTCACTTGGTGTTATTAAAAAAAAGTCATAATATTCAATAAATCAAATATTGCAATTCCTTACGCAACTTACTTCCCGCTGCTTACATATCGTCCTAACCCAAGGCAGCTACAAGTCAACAGCAATCTCTAAATTTAAAAATGTTTCTTTATGTGTACAACATACGTACACTAAAGAAATTCCTTCAGCTAAAGAAATCATCTCGAGCTATGAAACCGGCCATTTTTATTACAACCGCTGAAAAAAAACAATTACGACACCGGCCATAATATCCTTGGGGATTATCCTACATATAACAGAGGGAAAATATCGCCTTAGGACTTAGGGTGGGGCGTGAGTTACGTAATGATAATATTTATGTAAATTTAAGAATTGGCACGCCTTGGTGGAATAAGGCTACATCTCCAAAGTGACCACTTTTCAGGAAAGAGATTTAAAGATTCTACAAACAAACTTATTCGACAACACGATGTCATTGGTGACTCTATCCGTCCACAACTCATTATATAAATTCTAGGGTCAGCGAACTAAAATACATAAGTCAAAAATGCTTCATTTTTTAATATATAATTCTATATTTTTTGTGTTGTTTATAATGTTGGAAGATGTGAAGAGAATGATAAATTTGACAAAGACGCCATTAGAATTTAAGTTACAAATCAAAGAAATAATAAAAATTATTTGACCTATGTGCTTCAGTCGGTAAATGTATTAATTTAAATGAATGATGTTGGTTATTGTCTTATGTGCTTTAGTCCACGGACCCTAGAATTGTAAATTTATACATTCTACTATGCACGCAATACAATACAACTACTTGCAAAAAGAACAAAATACAGACAGACAAACAAAAAGACAATGCTCAAACCGAAACAAACATTTTTTTTGCATTATTACGCATCAAGTACAAAATTTAACAAAAAATCTATATTATTGATATCTTCTACTATACCATAAAGCAGTTTCCCCTAAGAAGAACGAGTAATAAAAAGCACTAAACAAAAAATCGAAACATCCGTACGAGTCACTTCCATGGATTTTTCATCCAAGTACGCAGAAGCTATAATATATGTTGTAGACTTTGTGTAAAGTAAATCTCGTAAAAAATCAATTAAATTTTGAATATCAATAAGGATGTTAATTTATAACCGTTATTATATTGGCCCTTAAATTAATTTATGACTTTATTTAGACGGCACACAGTTTATTTACGTTCGTCGTATTATTATAATGTATATTACTATTTTTCATTATAAAACTAATCTACTTAAAGTCGAAAGTATCTATGCTCGAAATAAACTTTTTCCTGTACTGATACGGTTCATTTTGCTTGGGTCAAGCGACAGGAACACTGGCTTTATATCGGATTTTATTTTTTTACAAAGGATATTAAAGCCATTTATAAAATGTATATCGTATATATATGTGTTCTATTTAGTTCAGATGATATAAAGAAATCATTAGTCTTTGTAAAGGTTTTCTTGTAAAATTTCGAGTTAAGTTTGCGTTATAAATTTTTATTGAATTGATATTCAATTATTTTTTTGAAATTACTCCACTAGTTTATTGTAATCATTAATAAAAAGATCGAACACTCAGAAAAATTCCTTCGATCCGGTCGGATTCGAACCGACGTCTTCTTGCATACCGTGCCAGACGCTATACCAACTAAGCCACAGAACGAACCAACGGACCCAACGAATTTTTCTATGTGCTTGCGTCGTGTCTTTGTATCGTTCTGTTGCAACTAGAAGATGGTCCGTGACATCAGATCGACATACAACTCCAATAGCGGGATCCCCCGACGTAACGTGCACTTAGTCCAGACAAGAATTTGCTGTAGTGGGTTTGTTGATAGTGGGAATTAAGTCTAGTTCGGCAAGTAAACACAGGTATTTACTGCTTGCTTACAGATGTGGACTGCCACTGTCAGAAAGGATGTTAATATTTATGTCGCCTGCAATGATAGTACACGGAGAGGGCTTGATAGAGTTGATGTTAGTTGCAAGTGAATTAAGAAATGCTGTGATATCCGTGAAAGAGGGAGAACGATAAATGGCAAACAGATTCGCATGATTTTTCAAGGAGATGTGTAAACAATTAGCACCTTCTAAGAGCGGTTCAGTAACTTCCGGTTCCCAGGTGTTACCAACATAAGCGACCACACCTCCTGCTTTGTTTATGTACCTATGAGTCCTAAAAGCTGAGAAGCCCTCCATTTGAGGTATTATAGAGTTTTCGTTAAGCCAAAATTCCGTAAGTATCAAAACATCAAATTCAATGTCCAGTCTTGCAAATGTCAACAACCAATCGACAAAATTGTGATGTATGCTTCTAATGTTCATAGTAAGCACTTTAAAGTTAAACTGATCAGTGAATAAAGATTTACATGATTCAGGCTGTTCGACTATATGGCAAGGTAAGTCAGACGAGTCGAGATCCCTCATGTAATCTAAATTAGCCATTATCATAAACTATTCGTGCATGGAGCTGAAAGATATTAGAGATGACTATTGCCATGTAAAGACCAGTAGTAAGTGCCTGAGTATGATTAAAGGTTATACGAGGGTAGTTACGAGAGGGGTTGTAATTGTAGTAGGTCCGGTACGTGTGGAGTAGAAGAAACTGTGTGTGCAAGCGAGTGTGTGTATCTACGGTAGTTGTGTAAGTTAATGAGATAGAATCTAAAACGTAACCAATTAAAATGATGTTAATGAACCATGGAATAAGAGATCCAGCAGTCCGCAGAAATGCTAGCCGCAAACTGAAAACTTTAGCTTCATCAACTGCTGTGACCTTTGCTTCCGGATTCATTTTCTCGGAGGATACGGTTGATGTCGGCGTTTGATCTAATGACCAAAGACTCGGAGCCCTTACCCCTGCCTTCACGCTTCTTGACGTAAATGATTCCACCGCTTGTCCAGCAGAATTTAAATCCTGCTTCTTTAACTTGTTTTCGGCAGTCGCGAAACAACAGCCGGTTTGCTCGAGTCAACCGTTCATTTACATAGATATTGGTTGTAGTGGCGCCTTCAAACCCAACATCCTTGGTGGTTAATCGTCGCACCTTAGCTGCTTTTAGAAATTGGTCACGGGGTACACGCCTCGTGAATCTCACAACCAAAGGGCGTGGTAGGGAATGATTAGTACTCCGACGTGGACCGACTCGCTGAACGCAATCAACATCAAAATCAGAAAGTTTCACGCCTATTAAGGAAGACATCGTTAAAATAATATGGTGAGGATTTTCATTTGGAGTTTCCATCACACCAGTGACTTTGCTCTCGTTTCTTAACATACTTTGTTCTTGGGAATTGAGTTTGTCGTTCATTACATCGACTATACAACGCAAGTCCTCTACTTCAGATGCTTTTTTCTCGGCTTCTATTAAACGGGTATCATAAGCGGACATTGCCATAGATAATTCATCTAATCTTGTTTCGCAGCGATTAAGGGCGGAGATGGCCATTTCAAATTCAGTCTTCATTGACGAAACTTCCGCTCTTAGTAGCCTAATTTCGCCTGTTAGTTCGTACAGGGGTGAGGCTTCTTGCTGCGACACTTCCAAGGGGCTGGCTGGTTTTAGTTTTCTGTAGGTGATGTTCTCTGACGTTCTCACCGGAGTTGCCGAGTTGTCGCCCCCTTTCCTCATAGAACTACGACAGTCTGGAAAAACCCATGAGTCATTAGTGGGGCCTCCCAGACCAACACAGGGATAGTGAAAGTTCTTGCCACATACATTTACTTTTGCAGCCGGCGCACAACAGACTCTGCTTAGACTTCATCATTGCTTGTACTTCTGTTACAACAAACCAGTGGCGCTCCAATGATGCTTGTTTTGACAGAATAGATCTCACGGTAACGGTCAACGCGACGTTGAGTGTAAGTACCTGACAACTACGGTTGTCTGCGTGAAACGGATTGTATTTGCGTGAACGCAGCCGTAAAATTAATTATCTATATTGGCAATACTACTTAATTGTCAGTTCTGTCTACGCCCACAGGTGTCACACGTCCAATCAGCTGAGCACTATAATGGGGTTATCTGTGATCTTAGCGAAAATTTTTTTTTTTGTTTCGTTTTTTTTCTTTCAACTGTGACATTGGCAAAATCATCAGTTCTCATATTGATGGAGCCATAAAAATAAAAAGTGAAGTTATTTGTTGTGCTTATTTATTTATTTATTTATTGAAGGAAACCAACGGCGTATACAAAGAAAAATGTGTACAGAATGCTTAAACTAAAAGTAAGGCTAATAACAGGTTTTCCCTAGTTTGAAACATACCGTGGAAACAATGTAATTCAGTAACTTACGAGCATGTATAGTAGAACCTTAAGTATTTGACTGAATTAAGTTTAGATCTTAAGTACTTTAATAATTAACCTTAAGTATTTTAAGTTGCGAAAATCATAATAGAAAAATAAGTTATAAATTAGATACATTAAATACATTACATATGTACAACTCGTAGCTATCATAAAGAAAACAGA